TTTTTGTATTTATTAAATTCCCATATATTTGCATTTATTTATTCATGTATTTATTTCCACATTTATCTATGTGTGAGTGCTAACAAAATCAGTTCACAAAAACAAACAGTCAAAAATTATGCAAAAGTAAATGCATAAAGAGAAATAAGAAAATAAATGTGCAGAAGATATTTTGTAATATTTTTAAATAAACAAAGCACATTTATATATACATTTTCAGTCAGTGTAGTTTCAAGCCTTATTCTTTATTAAACCAGTGAACAGAGAAGCAACTGCAATGTGTTTTTGTTTGCTTTTTACATTTATTTTATACATGACTGAATGGGTCTTTGGAGCAATTTTGTACAATTTTATTTGCAGAATAAATCCACATGAAGCGCAGATACCGCATTTGGGACACCAGCTTTAACCACTGAGCTATCCAATGACTTATAATCCAACATTCGTAACAAGTATATGTACAGGTCTAAAGTATTAAAGTATTAACAATATTAATCAAATACGACAACTAGTATTAAATTCATTAATATAAAAAAATATAAAATATCCATTATAAAATCACTCAAAAATGATTCGGTAAACTAAGCAATACAATTGAGCAATACGATTAAAATAGATGACTAAAATAAACTAAAAGAATAATTTGTATCAGTAGGCTATATATTGTATATTTCTATAATTTATATATAATTAACGTAATATAACTATGGAAACTGTTACTGTTGCTGAGACAAGGATTTGACAGCAGCATAATGACAAAAATGATGAGAAACATTCAATCGACAGATACATTTGTACATCAGATTTAAAAAAAGAGCAAGGAACGTCTTGACTTGTGCATTACAAAACATTTCACTTGCAGTTGCACTGCACCATCTTGGTTTTCTAAGCAGTATACGCAAACAATCATTATAAGCAACCTGGAGCTTCTGGAGGCTCGTCTTCTTAAACTTGACCCACAAGGGGGCACAAAGGCGGTGTGCATATTTTAGCCAATGCTGTTTGGTGACAGCACAGATAACTAATGTACTTTCAATTCCTCTGACAAGTTTCAACGAGTGTATCATCACAGGTGTCCTGTTTTGGGGGATGACATGAGACCAGGGCGTGTAAAACCGCCTCACTCCGCCGGGTGGTAGTAATGAGGCAGTGCGTCGATTACTATAATAACATCGTAGAAGAAGACGTGGGAGCTTCTCTAAAATGTCTGAGTACGCTGCATCTCAGAAGAGTGCCCTGAATTTAAAAGGCCTTGGGTCCATTTCAGCTGGAAAAAGGTACGTGTTGTTCCATTTGTGACATGTTTCTGCAAGAGGCGAGCCTTTTTAATTTGATAAAAACCCTTACATAAACAGTTGGAACTGCGAAAACCGTCTGATATTCAGGCGAGGCTAAGGTTAGCATGTATGCTAACAGAACAACACAGTTGTCACGTAAACATGTACGTTTAGGATGTGTAAACGATACAGTAATACATGGGGAAAGGACTTTTCAAATAGCGTCGTACAGTAGAAAACCACACTAGCCTCAACTGGGACCTGATTACAGTTTACGGTGACATTATGGAGTGGTACAGCTCTGGCTAAAAACATTACATCAGTGATTTAAATGTAGGTAACGCCACGTTAAAACAGCTTCAACAGTTCCCAGAGTCATTTGTATGTATATATATTTCAATCCCTCTGACCCATTCACAAGGCTTTTTGAAATACTCCCATACTGACATATAAGGGCTGTAATTGTTATACTATCCTTTTCTGCTGCTGTATTATAAGTCTATATTTCTGTTACTGCAATATTTGGTGTTTTATAGAAAGAATTTCATTTATCCAGAATATTTTATATTGTGTATTATTTGGGATATGTCTTTTTGTACTGTAGATAATATATGTTTATATATATGTTTATAATTGCTGTTTTTACTTTATTCCATCTTTTAATGCCTGAACTAACTGCTGCTGTAACACAAATCATTTCCCTATTTGGGATGAATAAAGTATCTATGTAAGTTAGGGTGGTCCTTATGCCATGCATATTTTCGTATTCATTCATTTTAAGCTCCAACCACCGGAATTCGTTATGATAGTCAAGAAAACTTTCCTGTTGAATTTTATTCAAATTCCAACAACATTTACCCCTCCCTCATCAACCTTTAAGTTTAGCCTCACGTAGGGTGGTCCTTAAACTTGAAAGTGGGAAAGTCTAAGCTCCAACCCCCAGAACGAATTCTATTCGTCAAGAAAACTCTCCTGGTGAATGTTTTCCTCAATCAGACAACATGTACCCCTCCCTCATCGACCTGGGCTGCCACACCAGCAGCAGGGTGCTGCAACTGAGGCTAAACTTCAAGGTCGATGAGTGGGGGGTAAATGTTGTCAGATTGAGGAAAACATTCTCCAGGAGAGTTTTCTTGACTAATAGAATGAATTCTGGGGGTTGGAGCTTCGACTTTCCCACTTTCAATTTTAAGGGCCACCCTAATGTAAGTTGCCTACATTTTATCATGTGTCTGTACGATATGTTTTTCATTGCTTATTGAATAAAGTGGTTGGTCTGGAAATCCTCTGATCAACATGCTTTACTATCTTTTTACAGGAAGAAGAAGAAGGCCAAGGAGACTAAGCGTCTCTTAGAGCAAGCCGCCCAACAAAACGAGGAAGAGGAGAAGAAGACATATGTCGACAAAAGAACACCGGCTCAAATGTCCTTTGACAAGATGGCGGAGAAGAGGGTAAGTTATCGTTCTCCAGCATTAAAGACCTGCAGCGAATGGGTCAGGATTTGACGCAGAGACCTGGCTAATCATTATAAATTAGCAGAAGT